TCTGTCTGTCTGTCTGTCTGTCTGTCTGTCTGTCTGTCTGTCTGTCTGTCTGTCTGTCTTCCATCTCTGTCTATCTATCCATCCATCCATCCATCTACCCACCCACCCACCCACCCACCCATCCATCTATCTATCATAGGGCAAAGCATCTAAATAAATTTCATGATCTTATGCACATATTTGCCCCAATAATGTAATTAAAATGTTTACTTTATGAGTCAGCCAAGATGTTTCTCATGATTTTTTTTAGATTAATAAAAATAATATTATGGATAGATATTATCGTCTAGAAAATACAACAGGGAAGGAAAAGAGGAGGAAAGGGAAGGAGAAAAATGTAAATTCTTGTTCCTAGAGAGAGCAACCTGAGTGCAAACAACTGGGAGAGGAAATGATAGAGCTGGTTTTTAGCAGAACCAGCAGTGAGGGCACTATTTCCCATTTCAAGGTTCACAAGTCCTGAGCTAAGATTTGCAATCTCTCTCTCTCTCTCTCTCTCTCTCTCACACACACACACACACACACACACACACACACGGTGGGGGGGGGAGAGGGGGGATCTTGTTGCTTTATTATTGATTCCACATTTACTTCTAGCTGAGTTGCAAACCCCTAGTCTTGCATTGGCAACTCCAATGCCATTTCAATCGCAACTTCTAACATCTCTGAGTTGGGTTTTGTCCTAAGTGGAAGCCGGAACAGTTAGGAAATCTTGCTACTTACCATCTTTGTAATAGAACAGTTTCATGGTCAAAGTAATATCATTGGGTAGGGGCCCAAGATGCTGCATCAATATATATAATTTGCGGATCAGTAGGATACTGGCTTTTTTAATTTCACCACCATTTGTTCCATTGTGAAAGCTGACTTGAGAACTACCAGAAAAACAACACATATGTTAAAAATGATCTTGACTGATGTGGCTTAAACCAAGAATGCACATGCAGCCTGCCAGCATAGATTCTGTAAATGCCAGAGGCTTCCCTGAATGGATGGGGCGAAGAATTTGGGCTCTTTTTGCATATTGTGAGAAATAGGAATTGTTAAGAGCTAAATGACTGCCTTAAACTTTAATTGCTTATGTTAGCAAGTTTGTTCCTAAACTATTTATTTGTTTGTTTGTTTGTTTGTTT